CCTCCATCAAACCGCTACGAGACGCTGCTCAAACAGAGACACGTGCAGGTAGCAGAAACATGAAAACACATGCTCGAGGTCATCTGCTGTATCGGTATTTATTTAACCACCAGTCTGACTGTCACACTGTATTTTTCATCAATCCCTGTTGTCTCACGCAGCTGTTGGGTCGCTCGATTGACCTGAACCGTCTGATTACCCAGAGGATCTCTGCAGCAATGTACAAGTCCCTGGACCACGCCATCAGCCGCTTTGAGAGCGAGGATCTTACCTCTATAGTGGTGAGCTCAAACATCAGGGAAACTAGTGAAAATCGTCAATCTATTTTTGTGTCCTGTGCGCGTCATCCTTCTCACACTGCATGCCTGGACAGGAGTTGGAATGGCTGCTGGAGGTTAACAGGCTAACCCACCGCCTCCTGTCCAAGCACATGACGCTGGACAGCTTTGACGCCATGTTCCGCGAGGCTAACCACAATGTCTCCGCCCCCTATGGACGAATCACTCTCCACGTCTTCTGGGAACTCAACTTTGATTTCCTCCCCAACTACTGCTACAACGGGTCCACGAACCGGTCAGTTTCACGCTGTTGTTTTGCAGGAATATATTTTATTTGCTTTTACCTTTTGTGTTTTTTCTTTACCCTTTTTCGTCTCCCTCTGTTCAGCTTTGTACGGACGGCTATTCCCTTCACCCAGGAGCCTCAAAGAGACAAGCCAGCCAACGTACAGCCTTACTACCTGTATGGGTCTAAGGTGCGGTACCATCTGTGATATTATAGTAAAGACTTGTAATTTTTTGTGTAAAGCAAACTTCCTCTTGCTTCAGAATAACATTGTGTCTGTTTCCTTCTTTCCCTCTCAGCCTCTCAACATTGCATACTCCCACATATACAGCTCCTACAGAAACTTTGTTGGCCCGCCTCACTTCAAGACCATCTGCCACCTCCTTGGTTACCAAGGCATCGCTGTGGTGATGGAGGAGCTGCTTAAGATTGTCAAGAGCCTGGTATTTATCTTCATTTTCCATCCTGAAAAGCATGCTGTCCTCCCCCTCAGTGTGCTGGATCCTCAGTTATTATTCTCCTTCCTTTTTGTGCCCTCTCTTCCCCTCGCCTGCTGTGAACTATCCATCTTCTCTGTCACTTTACAGTTACAGGGCACCATACTGCAGTATGTAAAAACCCTGATAGAAGTCATGCCCAAGATCTGCCGCCTACCGCGCCACGAGTACGGCTCCCCAGGTGAGTTTATAATCCCCAAAATTACAATGAATGGAGCACATTTTGTTGCTTAAATATAATTCTTTATTTGACTTCAGGTAAGTCAAATTAAGCCGTTTTTGAATAAGGGGGCAATCAGAGAAAAAGAAACTTAATGGTCTGCATATTGGTTGGTGCTTTGACCGACATAAACTCGAAATTTGAGCAATACCTGATTGATTGCTGTGAAACTTTGTACCACCAGCATACCACAATTTTAGTTGAAATATATCTGCAAAATTAATGCCATTCTCATCAAGCTGTGCACCAAGCACGAGTTTACATGTCAAGTATGATAAACGGGCTGCGGATTAGCACATTCAATATGAGATTTTTATCATCGCAGATCATTTAGCCTGAAAACCACAGCGTCAGAATAACTTCACACTACTTTAATGCACTTACAGTACTGTGCAAAAACCCCTCATTTTAAAAAAATGCTTTGCTTTACTTTCTTGAGCAATTGTTCTGCACGCTTTTTGAGGATGCATCAGAGTTTTGCTTTGAACGTTGGACATGTTTTGTTTGTTTGTTTGTTTTTTTGAGCCACTTTCAAGAATATAAAAGGCGCAAAACAGAGAACCAATTTTAAACGGTATCTTTAGGTGCTTTGTTACCAGCTGCCTCTCACAAAAAGGCAAAAAGACACTTTCATAGCTGAATCTGTGAAAGTTGCCAAAGAGAACACAGTTTGACAGGCATGAAATAGTGTTTTTTGCACAAATTAACTGATTTCCAAAGAGCTCTTATCCAAAAACGTGTTATATCTTGACATGGTGTGTGGTTAAAAAAATGAGGAAACTAGAAAAGTGGAGAAAAATCCAGCAAAGACCTGACACTGCAGCTGAGAGGATGCGCCTGGCCTTTCAGTTGAGCCATCTACTGTTGAAGGCTGTGTTGAAGAAGGTGGTCAAACCAAAAATTGGCTTTCAAGCTTGTTAGAGTTCTATACACTGTGTTTTTGCCTCACATAGTAAATTTTCATTTATGTTTTTACATGTTTCAGTTAATCACTGCACTTATTTTCCTATTTTTTGAGCAAAATATAAATAAACAATGCATGGCTCAAGGCTTTTGCACAGTATTCTTTACATAATGAACAAATATGAAACAAAAGTGCACTAACTATTTATAGCTGGTTATTGGTAATGCAGATATTTTATTTATTTGATGCATAGCACAGCAGTTTAATTCACATTTTCCTCCAGGTTCAGATATCGCCGCTCACTATTGGAGCAAGTCCTGCACAGACTGCCTCTCTGGCTTCAGTCAGATCTTGGAAACATTCAGCAGTACTGGAATAAGATTCAGCCATAACTTGGAGAAAGCAGTACAATACTAGATAACAACATATGAACCACTACAAAATACAGTTAGGAACACGACTGTTCTCAGACATTTGGGTTGTGCACAATATCCAATTAAACCACAAAAAATCCTCTACCTGCCTAATTTTTTTACATCTTTGTGCACTCCGTGACCTGCCTTAATGCATTTTGACCAGAGCTGTGGTTGCAGATTAGAGGCAGTCAGATGGAATATCCCTAAGAGGAGGGCTTAGTAATCTGTAGATTACTGATGTTCTGTACCCTGAGGTCTGTACCTGGCTTACTGCCTGTGATCTCACTGACAGCAGTTAATGATCCTCTTGTCCTCTGCTGCGAGGCCCCGATGCTCACACCAAATGTGGGTCAGAGAGGCCGCGTGGACCCGCTGACATCACCGCATTTCATCCCGCTAGCAAGAGATTATCAATGACATAACGAGATATTAGCAGGCGCTTGCTTCCTAGACTGTAGGAGAGTATAGATGTTATCAGCGTATCTTTAAAAATGCAGATGGAGCGCCGTATCACACCTGTCTTTTTCTCCATCTGCCATTCCAGGCATCCTGGAGTTCTTCCACCACCAGCTTAAGGATATCATTGAGTATGCTGAGCTAAAGACGGATGTCTTCCAGAGCTTAAGGGAGGTGGGAAACGCCATCCTCTTCTGCCTGCTCATTGAGCAAGCTCTGGTAGGACTTTTCTCTTTACAAGTGTCAAAATCCCATAATGCTTTAATGTGATTATTGCACCGCACCCCCCCCCCCCCCCCCCCCCTTCTCTCTCTCTTTTTTTGTTACTACTGCTTTCTCAAAGATTCCTCTGATAGCTCTGTCTGTGGTCTCCGAGCACGCTCAGTAAACAGGACCACTGAGATGAAGTTCTCTTGACTGCCTTGTTTTAATCTGGGTGACCAACAAACCTGGGTGCCTGAAGGTTTCCACCCAATTTGTGGTGTTGATTCACTCGCTAAATCAAACACCACGGTCAGAAGCCATCAGGCTCCCAGTCCACACGCCCCAAAGTGTTTAATCTCTGATTGTGTGTGAGGGGTTTTTTTTTTTCGTTTCTGAAATACAATTCTGTTTTTCATTACACGCTGGCAACTACCACAGGTGGTAAGGATTTAGGTCTTCCTATTGGCTACCAGAAAATGACAGCATGACCAAATGTGTTTGCTCTTTTATCTCTTGTTGGTTTGGGCTGCTGTTTTCTGTTGTTTCTCTTTTTTTCCGTGTTAGTTTGACACACACGCAGTTTACCTTCAATTAGCCATGGAAGCAAAAGCACGGAGACATCTTTCACTTTTTTTAAAAGAGTGAGGTGAAACTAAAAGAGTGTTTGAAGAGTGCACCTAAGACAAATGCAACAATTTGTTGCTTCTGCTTCACCTCTCCGACGCGTTTCACGATATTCAAATTGCAAGCTTTCAGTAATCTTGCAGGAAATCAGTGAGACAGACAATCAAGCTGCATTCGTCACAGAAAATGGTTTTTTTACATTGAATCATAACTATTTTAGAAGGTGATCGCACATTCTTGTGCTAAACTCTGCACTTTTGCCTCCATGACTGTCTTGTACTTCTGGGCACTTGTAATGCCTGTACGTTGCCCAGATCTCACTCTTTTTTTTCTTTTTTGCTTGTGCGTCTACTAAAAGCCTAGTTGTGTGTTGTTTGTCTCTTAAGTGTGCGTGCATTCGAGTGCGTGTTGCATGGCTTTTTCTTCTAGCCGGTCCCTTTTCTTTGTTTTGTTTTTTAGCCGAGGTCTCGAGGTGCTGCTCCTCTGCTCTTTTCTTTGATTTGTACCTTGTCGTCTTGACAAACAGTCACCACCACGATCGCTCTGACCGCTTGAAATTGCTCCTTAGTCTCTAATGGCAAAAAACCAAACAAAAAACCACACACTGAGCCACGTGACATTTTCGATTCATTAAGATGTTTGTAAACTTGACCTCGAGCCGCTAAACCCGACTAGATGGGATTTTGTGCTTAAAGTGTTAAAATTATAATCCTTTTAAAATTGGCCTGTCATCATTGCTTGATAATCGTAGCATCATTATCCACACAGACAAACTCTAATTCAGTTATCTTATCTCCCCACTCTCCCTAAGCCTGACATTGTGTTGACTAATCTGTCAGCATAGACCTGTGGTTCGGAGCTCGTGTTAGTTGCATTCAAAAATATGTCTTTAAAACACTTTAATTAAGAAGTTCAGCAAAAAGCCACCTCATGGCTGTCTGCATGCTTTGTCAGGGCATCCGTAGAGAATAACAGCGGGCGACTTCCTGGATTAAAATGAGCTGTTTGTCTGTGTTGTGCTTAAATCTCAGTCCCAGGAGGAAGTGTGTGACCTGCTTCACGCCGCTCCCTTCCAGAACATTCTTCCCAGAGTCTACATCAAAGGTATACAACAAGTTTGGAAGCGGTGAATTAAAAAGCAGACGGGTGCAAATTACATTACTCGCAGTTTGAAATTTGAGATGATCTGAGAAGCATTTTTCTTTTGAAATACGTCCGCAACTGTTGGTATTTGTGTGCCGCACAGAGGGAGAGCGTCTGGAGGTGAGGATGAAGCGGCTGGAGGCGAAGTACGCTCCTCTCCACCTCGTGCCTCTAATTGAGAGGCTGGGAACCCCACAAGTGAGTTCAACATCCCCTCTGATGGGCATGAAAGCAGACCTGAAAGGACATATTTATAGTCATACAGTCTTGCAGCTTAATCATGCGACCCCTTCCTCCTACTTTTCTCAGGCGTGTTTCATTGTTAACTATTTATTGATTATAAATAAATAATTCAAGGGAATTTGCACAATTTTCATAGCTGGTCTTCAAAATTTTTTCTCTTTAAGCTGCCAGTCCTCCCCACAATTTTCTAAATTCTCTAAAGACTTTTTAGACTTTTGGAGGGAAAGTTTCTCTTCTCTCTCCTAGCGTTATCCTTTAAGCTGACTGACTTACACTAGAAGCCTGCGGATTTTCAGAGGAAAGAAAAAGCTGAGTAATCAGCTTTAAGTTTCTAGCAGCAAGCGACAGAGGAGGATAGCAGTGGCAAAAATCCCGCAGCAAATTCTCTAGGAAGTGAATAGTCTGATTTCTCTCTTAGATTTTCACCCTTGAGCATTCTGCCTGTTTTCTTTTTTACCAGCAAATTGCCATTGCGCGGGAGGGAGACCTGCTGACCAAAGAGCGCCTGTGCTGTGGCCTTTCCATGTTCGAGGTCATCCTAACGCGAATCCGCAGCTTCCTGCAGGATCCGGTGTGGCGCGGTCCTCCGCCCACCAACGGTGTGATGCATGTCGACGAATGTATGGAGTTCCACCGCCTGTGGAGCGCCATGCAGTTCGTCTACTGCATCCCCGTGGGAACGCACGAGTTCACTGCAGAGTAAGTGACGCCTGGCAAAGAAAGTCACTTTTTGTGGCGAAAACTTGCAGAGCACAACAGCAAGCGACAGTAGAAAAGTCATTCAAGGGAAGTCTGCAGTTATCAGCAAACTAATGGTAGATTCCAAGAGTGTCTGTTGTCCTCGGCTGCTTTATGGTGAAAATTAAATTCCCCACAGCTTTGTGTTGATGGCTTCTGATGGCTGTTGATGTATTTTCCTTTTTTAAGCTAAATTTGGCCTGCTTTGTTATATTCTTTGGGTCCATTTTGGTGCAGATGTTGATATGACAGGTCCAGCAGTATTTTTCTCTTCTGATAAAAAGGTTAAAGTTGGCAAATCAGAAGAGAAGTTAAAGGGGTGGAAACATTTTGGGGGAAACTGTTTCAATACACACTATGTGACTTCTTTAGTTTCTTCCCCTTAATTATTTTTTTATATCACTCTGCTACACACCCTTTACATCACCCTCCTTGAATAAGAGCTGAAAATAAATAAGTTGAAAGGGGCGGGCTGTGTATATGTGACAGCAGTTTGGACCCAGACAGAGGGAGGATTTTTCCATGGCGCGTTGCTCCCTTGTGTCGCCAGAGCAGCTGGAAACATTCTAGCGTTGTTGCATCAGCGTTGCATCATTGTTTTGCAGACTTGTCACATCTCGAGAGTTGTGCATCACATAATGAAAGCGCACCCCTCCGCCCCCTCCCCGTGTTGTTTGTGCTCGTCCTTACAGGCAGTGCTTTGGGGATGGGCTGAACTGGGCCGGCTGTGCCATCATCGTGCTGCTGGGACAGCAGCGTCGCTTTGACCTCTTCGACTTCTGCTACCACCTGCTCAAAGTCCAAAGGCAGGATGGCAAGGACGAGATCATCAAAAATGTGGTGGGTACACGTTATCTGCTGCGTATCCTCAATTTTGCCTTGTTGCTGAAGACTCGCAATTATAAGTCCAAAAAATACATCCCTTCTTTTCTTCCGTAGCCACTGAAGAAGATGGCAGATCGCATCAGGAAGTACCAGATCCTCAACAATGAGATATTTGCCATCCTGAACAAGTACATGAAGGCAGTGGAGACGGACAGTTCCACTGTGGAGCATGTTCGCTGTTTCCAGCCTCCTATACACCAATCCCTGGCTACCACTTGCTGAAAAGACCTTTGAAAATTGTACACACACACAAGTGAAGACACATTCCCCTTAGCTGTGATGCTAATTTCTGCCTCTTACTGCTCTTTGTGAGGTGTAAGGTACCACAATAGCTCCCCATTGGCTGTAAGAATCCAAAGACACGTCTCCTCAAACTGTTCCTCTATTTAATACAAATGAGTGTCTTTGGGTTCTTACGAGAAGCGGAGCAGCCCAGAGGTGGAAGTGTATAGTCACGTCTCTTCTTTTTATTTTCTCGATTGTGTGGCTCCCACTCAAGACTCGTGCATGCCTTCTCTTACTCCTTCAGTTGCTTACCTGTTCGCTGGACCACTGATACAAATGCCAAAAGAGACAAAAATTAGACTATCTGATTTTTAAAAATGTGATATGAAACGGCGCAACAAATAACAAATTTTCCAAATTATATAGATATAGATATATATAAATATATTTAAGTCCAACATGGTGCTCTTACGTGATCCAACGTGTCCTAAAAGTACTCGCACAGGCACCAGTACACCTGTGCGATCTCTACGCGTGTCCTCTATTAAGACCCGAACTTGTTTATCGTGATGCATCCGTATAATAATCTACCCACTGTCCATGATACAAGGCGTCTGTCATGACGCGTTTATATACTTTTCATTACTCTCACACACGGCCTGCTTTTCAAAGGAGCGGAGGTACACTGCATCTTTGATTTGCCTTCAGTTTACCTGGTTTTTCGTCGGCCTCCTGACACGCTTTTACTCGGTAACCAGTTCCACTGTAAATTTCACCGTTGAACAAAGTGAAGTGTTGAGTGTCGTAATTGTTCTTTGTTTTTAATTATTAATATTTTAATTTAACCATCCTTTGCATACTTGCCTCTCTTCTATTGACTGGAAAACCTCATCGGTAGTTTTTTTTTAAAAATTTGTTTTGTCCCCTCCCCTCCTCCTCTTTTGTCTGTTGGGAAGATTTTTATATTCTGTATATGAATACAGTGATATTATTTACAGTTTGCAAAAAGACACACAGTCATCTGAGTAAATGTTTGCTTTTTCAAGAGTTAAAAAGGAACAAAAAGATTAGAAAATACCTCTAGGTTGTATAAAGACAGTGCTGTACTAGATTAACCTGTTTTGAGTATGAATGGGTGAAGATGAAATATTCTCCTCATACAGCGAAGGAACAAATAATTAAAAAAAGAAGAAGTAATAAACTAAAATGTCAGTTATGATTAAAGGGCAGTTTCCTAAATATAGTCAGTATTTACTATTGTGGGACTCTTTGCTTTAGATTTAGCAGTGTTATCAAAATATGCAAAAACCTTGTCCCTATTTTTTTCTTATGAAGAAAGACAAATGATTATGAAGTAACCTTCCTCAAAGCAGCCTTCTTTTTTCTGCTCCGTTTTGAATGAAGAAAGTTTCTTTTGTAACTCCGGTGTCTTTTTAGCGTATTTATTCAAGTCTGACTTGCGGTTCATTTAAAGGTTGATCTCGTCAAAATGATCGGTACCGGCGTGTCATCTCGAAACCTTAGCATGGCAAATGTAATTTATTGTCATCAATGGCTCCATTTGTGACATGAGGCTTTGTTTATGATATTGTTGTACAAGTGACCATGTTTTGAAGTACAAAAAAAAAAGTGGAGAAAAAGAATATAAAATGTACAACAATGTTCCTGCAAAGGATTTGAAATTATGTTGTATTTCCATGAAATAAAAAATGTTTAACTGAAAAAAAAAAGAAGTTGTATTTGGCATGTTTGCTTTTCAATGGGTTCTACCATTTACTTGCAGCATCCCGTATTACACCTGAACATCCAGGATGTTTTCAGGTTTTAGTTTTCCAAATTTGTTTGTTTTGAGAATCTTGTTGAATGAAGCTTGTGTACATACTACATCTGTTACATATGCCAGGTGGCCTATAGGAAGGGTCTCTCATATCTTCGTGTTGGTGTTGTACCTGGATCAATGTAGCAGCTCAATTACGTTGTTATGTCATACCTTTGCGACTTTGGAAAAAAATTCTCCATGTCCACTCAAGGGGAAAAGAAAATCCAAAAAAGGGGGCGGTTAGAGTTAGGTTTGGGGGCTAGGATGTGGTTGTAGTTAGGGTTATGGGGCTATAGTTAGGGATGTGGCTTAAGGTTACAGTGTTAGGTTGTTCACAAAACTATGACATCACAACAATGTGACTGGTCACTTGCGATGCTGATACTGGCCCAATGTTAGTTTTGTTGATCAAGGAACAACACCAACATGATATCAGATTGTGCCTATACAAAGACGCAACTAATGTATACTCACCAGCCACTTCATTAGGCACACCTGTTCAAGCATCCCGTATTAATCATTTGATTCAGGTGTGTTAACGCAGGGTGAGATCTAAAACCTGCAGGACACTGGCCCTCGAGGCCTGGAGTTCGAGACCACAAGACGATTGAACAAAATATTAAGTAAATGGTTCTGACTACTTATGTAATACTATTATCATATTGCAGAACTATAGTAAAAATAGATACCAAGCATTTAAAAAAATTTTTTGTCTCACTGTGGAGCACATCTGTACATATTAAAGGAAAAAATCATTTTGAGATAAACTGCAATATAACAAAGGTTGGAATACTTTCTGAATGCACTGCATTTAAAAATTAACTGGGTTAGCGACCAAAGACCAAACTGGACTTTGTAGACTTTTGCTATTCTATTAAACAGAATTATTTTACTTAGCAATTTATGCCAATTAAACTGTTTTTAATTATTTTGGGATTTTAAGTTATTTAAAAAAAATCGAGCTATGGATGGTATTTTATTTTTCAATGGGAGAAACAAGCGTCCATGGTAATCCATTTAAAAAGACCTGGGGAAGCCCCTCCCCCAAAAAACAAATAAACAAAACAAATCGAAAACAAGTATGTTAAGTCTGTACAGGTGTACATCAATGGGTGTATAAAATAAGTAAAATATATAATTTCTGCAGTTACGGATTTACACAAAATCCGAAACTACACTTTTTAAGTAAACTTGAGGGTTATTTGAATGTGTTGCGAAAAGAAGACGCTCGCGATATCCGGAACTGCGTCATGGGGACTGGATTCCTATTGGCCACGGGCAGATAAATCTACGCATGACGTTATTTTGAAATTTCAGCGGCGGATCGTTGCTTGTCAGTGAGAGCTGCACCGCAGCCTTTGCGACATTTCTAGAAATTCAAAGTTAGTCACATACAGTGGGATAAAATGTCTTTTTCACGAGCTCCTTTAAGGAGATTCAACGAACACGTAGGTAAGAAAAAGCTAACGGCTGTAGCATGCCGCCAAATTCAACCACTTAACGTTAAATGGCTTATGTTAGCTGGCTAAAGCTAAGCAAGCGTTAAGGCACATTTGGTTAGCGAGGTTTCTTGTTTAACGTATATGAATTAATAAAACATAGCCACGGGTGGTTATTTGTTTACATAACAAAGGCCTGATGGTGTTTATGATACCACTGTTGATTGCGGTGATCGACATTACAGCTAACGTCTTCTTGTTGTTCGAAGGTTGCGCCCCTCCTCCGGGGTCCTATGAGATTAAACCTGGGGACCTGAGAGGAGCGGCATCCTTTGACAAATCTGATCGATTCAAACCTCCTAAGGCGGGTGAGTGGCTCTGCTACATGTAATGCTACAGGAAATGGTGTAACTAGTAACACAACGTTAGTACCACTGGTTTTCTTTTGTGTCTTCAGCTGATGGAGTTGCTATGCCGCCGCCACCACCATCGCCTTCCAGAAATGCCTTAGTTTCTCCTGTCCGCAGGACTCTGTCGCTTGATGTCCTTGTGAGTTTAATGTTATTGTTAACGCCACTCGGCAGAGCCTGCTGATCATAGAGTTGCTTGAGAGATACAATATTTGTTTCCTTTGTCTTTCCCTTGTCAAAAACTAGCCTGAAGGGTCAAGTGCAAAGAAAGATAGGAATGGCATGACTGCGGAGAGGAAGCAGCAGAAACTACTGGAGAAGGAGGTACACCTCAAAGATTGATAGTCCTCTGTAATCAGTAGCTTGTGTCCTTAGTTATTACTGTGGAACTGGTACACCAGTAAGTGTTCAAGCTGCTGTTCATCCTGTTGGTGCCTGTACCAGAAAGATAGTTTGAGTTTTGATTCTTCCCAGATCCGGTCCCTGGTGCAACAGCGTGGGGAGCAGGATCGTCGGGTACTCGCCCTGGAAGAAGAGCTAAAGAAGATAGAGGCCAAGCTGTTGGCTGCAATCAGGGAAAGGACCGGGCTCACTGCCAGTGTTACCACACTTGAGAGACAGCGAGCTGAACTCAAGAAAGTCAACGAGTTCCTAAAAAACAAGGTATGATGATATCTAGGCTTTACTGTATTTAGAAATACCGTCATAAGTGTGTTTGGACTTGAATGGTGGGGGGGTTTTTTTGTTTTTTTTTATCTATTTTTTTTTTTCAAGGTGTCTGCTGATACAACAAAAAAGAGAATCAATTCCCTTACCATGGAGTTGATGGAAGCTAGGAACACTTTGGATGTGAAAAACCAGGTATGATTCATTCAGTTTGTTAAATCCCATCTTAATATTAACCCATGTGCAGTAATAAATTGTGTCTTTTTTTTTTTTATTCAGGAATTTAGTGTACTTCAGATTAACACTGAAGGCCAAATAAAAGTTTTAGAAACTGACCTACAAGCTGCAAGGGCTACACTCGCAGCTTTAAAGGACAGGAATAAAGACTTGGGTAAGATTTATGACTATATATCTATCTATTACATATGTAGAATGTGTAGGTGAACTAATTAGGGATGTTATCTTTCTCTAGAGGACCTCCATCAGGTGACAAAAAGTCAGAATGAAGATCTGGAAAACGAAAATGCTCGATTACATGGTGAGTTTTCTTTTGGATTTTTCACAAAGTCTGTTGAGTGGAACTGGAAGGCAAATGAACATTTTCACCATCTTTGACTTGGGAATAACATTAGTAAGCAAGTAGCATCACCTTTACTGTGTTTCTTTTTAATGGTTACATTACCAGCTGTGATACGGGAGCTCAGGGAGGAGATCCGTGTAGTGCAGGGATACCTGGATGCAACCAATGATGAAAACCAGGTATAAACTAGATTTACATTACCACATGCTGCAAATATGTATTTATTAATTTGTCTTCCCCCATCTTTTATTCATAAATTTTGAAAGTCATGTTTAATCCATCTTTGTGGCCATAGGAGCTCCGCTTAAAGATTCAAGAGAAGACACAGAACACTGTTGCTGGTTCCCAAGTGGAGAAACTAAAGTGAGCAAACGCTTAATGTATATCTAATCAGATTTATCCTTACTGCGTGTCTTATATGTTCATTTGTCATTTTTCCACAGGCAACTGGAGTCCGAACTAGAGCGGTGTGTTTCTGAGCTTGAAACCACTCAAGATGCGCTGCGGCAAAAAGAGGAGGAGGTACGCAAACTCCAGCAAGAGCTGCAGTCAACAAAGGATGCTTTATGGGAAATGGAAAAGAAGTTGGAGGAACAAGAGCAGGAGCTGAAGTCTTCTATGAGTGGCATGGAGGAACAAATAAAGTTAGCCAACCAAGATGTTCAAGAATCTCAAGTGACAGTACGCCAGCAGGAAGCAGAGCTTTCTAGACTGAGGGAGGTGCTCCGGAGAACGGAGAGGGAGCTGGATGAGCGAGTGGCGCATCTTGAACAGAGGTGTCTGTTCTCCGAGGAAGAGAGAAGTATGTTCATCCTGAGCCAGTGGCTTTGGCTATTCAAGGTACAGAAAATAATTCCAGGTTTGTGAAGTTCTTGTTTTTATATATCTTAGGCAAGACTCAGGAGGAGGGACTAAGGAGGGTGGAAGAGTTGAAGAAGGAGCTGGGCTTGCTAAAGGAGGCTAAAAAAGAGGAGACAAAGAGATGCACTGAGCTCCAGGAAGAACATGCCAAGCTTACTGAGGAACTGGCAAAGGAAAGGGTGAGACAAACTTTTTCTTGTCTGTTGGGTTTGCTGTTGTTTTTTGTTAACCAAAACTCAGTGCAGTAACTTTTAAGCTGTAACTTATTATTTCTTTTTTTGTCTTTTCACCTCCCCCTGCAGTCATTAGTGGACTCCCTATCTGTGCTAGTGGAGCAGGAGCGAGAGGATTCTGAGAATCGGTTCAGACAGCTAAAGGAAGAGATGGAGGAGGTCCTGGGAGAGCTTGCCCTTATGGAAGAACAGGAGCAGAAGAATCAGGAAATGACAGAGAGTCGGGAGACCCTCCAAAGGCTGCAGGAGGAAAATGAGGAGCTGGAGAGACAGCTGAGTGATACAGAAGCACTTTTGGAGAAGTGAGCAAGCAAACTGATGGGTGTCACTGCCCATGTGTTACTATTTTTGACCCACTAGACTGGCAGCATGTCCTGGCATGCACTGTAAATAAAGTGGGGAGAAAATAATTGCTGTGCATCAGTCCATCACAAGCATGACAGAGTCAGTGGGTCACGGTCTCTGTTTTAGACCAATTTAAAGTTTCCAAATGTACTGACTTCATCCTTGGTGTATAAAGGAAGGAGGGCACTTGGTGACCATGTTTTTTTTGGGGGTTTTTTTGAGAGTCTGGTAAATGTAAGAGGTTTGGAGGGCCACGTCACTATAATATTGATAATGTGCACCTTGTAGCTAGGGCTGCAAGCGAAGATTTTATTACGACTCAAGGTTATTCCATACCATGGACTAATTCTCTTATGGTTTGTTTGCACCAAACACAAATAAAAGTTTGGCAACACGAGAATATTCGCTGCAGCCGACAAGATAATTGGAATGAAATTAAGGAAGCAGTTTCATGAGAAAACAGAAAGTCCTATTATTCCACTTACTTTTGTACAAGTTCACTCCGTTAACACTACATAAAAGTGAAGTTAAACCATAGAGCTCCAGTTTTCTTCAAGTAGCATCAGTAAGCTCTTCCTCCAGTTTTGATAGTCAGTGGCATCAGGAGGAAATCCCAGTGGACGGGTTTTCATAAGGCAACATGAAGCGAATAGTTTATGGAAGTTGAAGTATTCACCCCAGATCACCTCGTTACGTAGACCGTAGATGTGTGCTTGCAACAACCCCTGCTGTTGCAAGCACAGTTATTCCACTATATCTTCCAATATTATTATTTATTTATTTGTGTGTGTTTTTTAAAATAAAAAATCCAAACCCAAAGATACAGTATTATTAATTTATTAATGTTTTTAGGAAGTTGAGGAAGAAAAAGTTTGAAAAACTGTCTCATCTTTCTTTCTAAATGCAGTGTTACTTGATGCATTATGTGATCACTGCTATTTGATTTAGTATATTTTTTGATACTTCTGTCAACTGTTATAGTGAATTGGGTGTTTTAGGAACGTAAACTGACGATGTGTCTCTTTTTTTTTGGTTTTATTTTTAAGTAAAAGCAATGACGTGGCAGCTGTGAAAGAGGAGCATTTAGCTGCTGTGAGAGTGCTTGAAGAGGCGCACACGAAGTCCCTGAGCAAGATGGCAGAAACTGTCACGGAGCTGGAAAGGTGAGCGCTCGAGCGTCTGTGGTTCTTGGATGTGTCTCTTGAAAAGCCAGTTTGATTTGCGCTTGCTTTAAATGTAGATTTCTGCCAGAGCGTGGGCTTCACGGGATGCTCGTTTTAATTTTCAGTACCAGAGAGGCTTTAAAGGAAGCAAAGGAAAGGCAGAGAGAGCTAGAACTTGAAATTAAGGAGGTGATCCTCACAGGGTTTCAACAGAAGGAGGAGGAGATCAAGAGAGTCAGGGAATGGTTAAAAGAGCAGCAGGTGATACAGTTAGCTGGAGTGAAAGCCAGCGAGCAGATTTTGAGGTATCCTAAAAAAATGTTTTTTGTTTTTTAATTAAATTTTTTTTTTTTTTACCTTTGCTAAAATTGTCACTTTTCTACCTTTCTCTTTGACTTTGTAGAATGTTGCTGGAGGTGCAGGCTTGCCTTGCACAAAAAGATGATGAGATGAAGGCGGCGGAGGCGAGCCTCGCTGTTCAGATCAGTCAGCTGAACAGAAAAAAAGAGGGAGAGCTCCAAAAAGAGAGGGGAAAAGCCCAGAAACTGCTGGAGGAAATCAGTGGGGAAAAGGAGGAAATGATGACACAGCTCAAACAAGAAAGAGAGGAGAAGGTTAAAATTCAGATCGCCCTTCAGGAGGAGAAGGAAGCATCTGAGGTTGAAAGGAAAGACCACCAGCAGCTAAGGTCAGAGGTGATCAGACTACAGACTGAGCTTGAGAGATTGAAGGAGGAAAGCAAAGGTCTACTGTCTCAGGTAGAGCTCAGAGACCAATCTAAGGTGGATCTTGAAAATCAACTTAGCACGGCCGAGCAGGCCAGAAATCTGCTTCAGTCTTGCCTGGTTGAGGTTGAGCAAGAAAGCGAGAGCTTCCAGGCCCAATTAGGCCTCGCAGAAGAGAAAACACAAGCTCTACAGCGTGAGTTGGATGAGGTGCAACAAGACAGACGAGCTATAAGAGAGCAGGTAGAAGTACTGACTCAGGAGAAGGTTATGCTGCAGTGGGAGTTGGAGGAGCAGCGGCAGGAACTGCAAAGACAAATAACTGAAGCACAAGAGAAGAGGTGAGAGAGGTTGATCTTTGTGTGTCCTCCGGAGGTTTCTGCTGTTACAATTTGTGCATTTTTAACTCATCATATACTTTCTTTTAAGTTCTTCAAGTTCAGAGACCGAGCACTGGAAGAAACAATATGAGGAGCTGTTTGCCAAAGTCAAGCCCTTCCAGGTCTGTGATTTATTTTTATGACAACACATAGAAACCCACACACGTTTTCATTAAAGCTGCACTAATTAGTATTTTTAGATTAATAACAGCAAAACCCCTCCTTGTTTAATTGGTTTAGTTGACAGGGTGCATGCACATTATGTTTATCTTACCAGCAAAATAAAACTGCCACATATGAACCCGCAGATATTTCTCACCCACCTCTGCTGTTCAGGCTGTCTTTTAGTTGTCTTCAGCTCAATTAACAGCTTCAGTACTTCTACACACTCTCTTTGGAGCTCCAGAGTTCTAATAATCCCACTTTACTCTATTCACCCAGCATCAAATGGCTCACAGACACAGTTAGTGAAGAAAGTGATTGAGGGGAAAAAAGTGGAGGTTTTTAGCGGTGAATGGAGCAGTACTTGCACAGTGCTTTTCTAGTCTTACCGATTGAAGTGCTTTTAAGCAACTAAAAGGCAAGACTTTTTTTCCCCCCCCCAGAAGTTGGTGAAGATTTGAAGAGTAGAGATGTGTATTCATCAAGTGGTCAAATCAAAATGAATGTTGATGTCATAACATTTCTGTGAACACACAGTTATCAGAATAATAGTGAAAACTAATTAATGTGTGTCTGCAGGAACAGCTCAATGCCTTTGCAGCAGAGCGAAATGCACTACTTAATGAGAACGGGGCAAACCAGGAGGAATTAAACAAACTGGCTGACGCTTACGCTCGCCTCTTGGGACACCAGAACCAGAAGCAGAAGATCAAACACGTGGTGAAGCTGAAGGATGAGAACATCTCTCTAAAACAGGTAAAATGTGATGCAGAATTGCCTGCCTTCCAAAACGCAGACATCATCTCAAGCTAACATGCCTCTACACTACACCCTCCCCACCTTCTTTTTATTTATTTATTTTCCTTTTTTTTTTTGTGTGTGTGTGTGTGTGTAGGAGGTGTCTAAGCTTCGCTCTCAGGTGAGCTGGCTAAAGACTGATCTGGAGCAAGTGAAGTCAAAGCTCCCCGGTGCTCCTCGCCGCAGGTTTGACCCCAGCAAAGCTTTCCAACATGATAAGGAGAACAGGCAAAGTGAAACGTCTGAGCCGCTTAAAGACGGTAAGAACTTTCATCTGGCCAGAACCTTGAAGGAATGATGAGATGAAATAAGAATTGTTTTTTGTGGATGAGTCTCATTTTTATGTAACTCCTAAAGTGTTTTTAAAACTCTGATTCTCTGTTTGTTTTGTTAGGAAACCATTATGGACTTTAGGCTTTAGGACTCTGCTAGCAGCGCTGCCAAGAGACTTTTCTGAGATCTAGTATCTGTGAGTTATTAGAGTGTAAACTGAGGTTTTACAGCCTTTTGTTTTAGTGTGTACATTTTGTGTTTGGATTTTTATTTTTATTTTTTTAACAAAAACTGTTTAAACTTAATGAGGTAAAAGATGGAATAAAGTCTTAGATGCTAACAATTGGAGATCAAAAGTGTAACTGGCTAAAAATCCAAGGTGCATTTTGCTAACTGAATTTTAATCTTTTTAATTATTCTTAGGGTTGTAGTAATTATCTCATGGGGAAAAGCTCTTAATAAATCTGTCTTATTCTGTAAATAAAGACAAATTTTAATACTCTTCTTGCGCCCAATCGTTCTTGAGACTTATTCACATGCTAGGTGTAGAAATGCTTTATAAGGAGCTCTTTTTTTTTTCCCTTTTCTCTCATTTGGATCATTTTGGCCATGTCTATCCTCAGCCAGAAGAGAGCACTCTAGGACTGCAGCCACAGGTTGGAGTACAGCAAAAGGCTACCGCAGCCCATGTTTCAGCTGCACTACATATGAGTGACAAAAAAACACACAAATTCACATCTTTGCAGAGAAGAGCCTTGGGTTATGGGTCAGGAAGCTTTATTTCCTTCAGTTGATAAGACATAGCCAGCAAGTATCAGGCCAGAAATTGACTTCGGGACCTTTTTACAGGCTATGAGTGGTGCTCCTGAAGTGGCGAGTCAGTCGCAGTAGCCCTCCAGGTGGTAAATGCTGCACGGCTTGTGGCAGCACTGTTCCACGATCCCTCTCTTCACTTTAGGCTCGTCGCGGCCCGACAAAGCCCTCCACAGTCGCTGGTCCTGTCTGGCCCTTTTAGACAGGAACCCTTTGAAGTGGAGAAAGTTTCCACAGCCTTGTGTTAAGTCCTGATGCTGCTGTGCAAATCTCCAGTTCCGCAAAATACCATTTACTGTTCACACTTTAATGGAGACTTAATGGCTAGTTAATCTGATCTCCCCAATCCATTTAGTCTTGTTAGTCTGTACTTCAAGAGGAGATATGATGGAGCGCTAACAGAGGCATATCATAGCTTACACCCCTAATGTTAACGTCGAAACATCAATAGAGCGTTTGATGCGGAAGATCCAAAAAAGTTTCTAGAAATAACATAATGAATAATTTAGGGATTTCACAATTTTGATCAACTGGCTTTGTCACAGCAAAGATGTTGAAAGCTACAAACCACAAGCCTGGCTACACCACTGAATTCAGAGGAGCCTGGAGTTAGGCTTTGCACACTAATGATGACTCAATACATTGATATAGTTCTGTAAAGTTTTCAACATGTTGTCCCTAAACATTTTTCTTCCAGCTAGCATCCAATTTAGCATTTTCATTAGACTGAGTCTGAACTTTGAACACTGTGTTCAGAGACTAGACACACAAAGCACAACTGGGGTCTTGGGGTGATGTCATGCTGTTCCTTTCTGAACTCCCAACATCAAGGGGACAATTAGAGCTTATTTTACACAAGTCAAAAAAAAAAAAAAAGCAGAACTGTGGTCTTACCGAGCAGATGTTCCACATCACGCTTGTGGGTCCGGCTCGGATTGTAGAAAAAGCCTCTTTCTCCACACACAAAGTAGAGTGCGTCCACCAGGTGGGAACCACACAGATGCCTGAGGGGGACCGAAGACCCCCCTGGAGAGCAGAGCATCAGCAGTAACAGCATGGACACTGCCCATGATACCCTGGCCATACGAGGGAGACCGCTTGAACAAAGGACGAAAAGAGGACTTCATACACAAACATTTGAAAGCTATTCAGATTTTTATTGTGTTGGGTTTCAAAGAAAAGTGTAAAAGTGAATTCAGTTATCAATACATAATGCCTGAAGGTTTGGAGGAGTGAAAGAGCATGAAGTGATGCCGAATGATGACTTTTCCTGGCATTTTCTGTTAATAACTTCTTGTGAGATTCTACCTAATAGCTGCAAAGATTAGGCACACGGCAATTCCCCACCTCAAAATTTAGAAAGGAGGGAGGGGGGGGGGAGCTAATACTGCATTCTTTGATGGAAATGCCATGTGAAAAAGGTCTGTGGAAGAGTCGTCGTATTCTCCAAATTTTCAGTGTTTGAGAAAAGAGGATCATTTCAAATGTTACATCTTGATGACGCACTTGGTCTTCACTCTGTTTTTCACAAGGCTAATGCAACATATAGTGATAATCTTTTTCTAAATAGAAAATCATCCCTAAAAATGTAATATTTTTGTAATGTTCTAAGTTTCATAGTTTTTTTAGATTTCAGTCACCCAAAGTTGAGCCTAATGTCATTTCTGCACAGCCTCTGTTGAAGTAGATTGAAAATTGATTTTGTTCTCAGTCCGTTTGCTTTACTTTTATCCCCAGTTGAGCCCGATTTCATGATGGCCCCATCAAAGCTAGAAAGAATATGCCCCAGAATCACCAACGTGGATACTGTCAGTGTATCCTCAAGGTCAGCCCACACCTTGCTGTCCAGCTTAGCAGTTACAGTGCTCAAGAGTGGAGATGATTTGTCCAGTATTACAGAAGTGATATTAGTTAAATCCCATTTGTGATGGATATTCTTGCACGTTTGAAGTTCAGCTTCTGTTTCAAGGTGAAAAACATATTTAGCAGTCATTTAGAAACTATATAGACCTTTTGTGGACATCATATAATGTACTGCAGATTATTGGATTGAAAATAAATCATTTTAACAGTGTCTTTAACAATGCACCTGTGCCAGACATTACAGCATTGGCAGAACACTCTATCGGGTCCGCCACTCCTCTATCCCTCTTGGCCTTGTGCCAGGCTCCTTGGCACAGTAGATGGGCTGAATTATAGATTCTGCCCACACTTTATTTTCATCCTGGTTATTATACACATAAATTTTAACAGTGAAAATCTTGAGGGAATACAGAGAAACTTCCTTACCTGTGTTTGAGGCCTGAGTGCAGCAGAGCAGCTGGTGGTTAAAGATGAAAAGGGCCTAGGCCTATAGGGCTATACTGGTAGAGAACATCTCTACTTGGCTACCTTTGCCCCTTAATAACTCTCCACCTGGCTTTTGTCAGCCTCAGCGGAAAACCCTAAGGTCCTCTCATTAAAACCCTGACCCGTAAGCATGCTGATCTGCTCTTCAGTCGCACTACGTCATTTAACGAAGTGTGGACCTGCAATAACGGGATACAGTTGAGAAGGCAGACATCCAGCGATGCCCAACTCAACCCCTGCTGTGTGTTGTCCTGACTTGCTCTGGTAACAGGATGACAGGCAAACACCATATGCCATGTTCTGATCACAAGAGCCATGGATTTCCAAGTTTGCCAGTGACCACTGCTGGTGTTTTTAGGTACTGTCACATAGGACCCATGTAAATAATATTTGCATCATTCAAGTCCAAGTTACAGATGTACATATGCAAGTTCACATGGGCGTTTTTATTTAGTCGAGAAAAAAGATATATTGTATTATATTCGTGCCTTTATCCCCATATCACAATGCAAAAGACAAACACACGCACAAATATTATAGAAATCTCTTAAAAACTTTAAAACTAAAAATGACTGAATTCTTGTCATCATACCTACATTTCAAGTACTAAAACTTGTTGTTTGTTGTTGAGGACTGAATAATACTAAGAAGTGAATACTTATATATATGTATCATCTATATATATGTATCTATATGTGTGTGTGTGTGTATGTATATATATATATATATATATATGCATATACATGTGTATATACACTGACTACAAATATAAATGTATGACATTTATAATAATAATATATATACTCTAAATGATAAAATACTCCTATCAAATTTTGTACAAATTTATTTATTGAAACTAATTATGAATTAGAAATGTAGTCACATTTCTAGATGTTGTGGACATGTGGATTAATAGCTTGCTGAGATTTTCTTAAACAACTTACACTCAGCAAATGCTGTAGATGATGTGGACTCAGAAAATGTATTTTTAAAAGGACACTAGAAAAACTTGCAAAGAGATGCAGATGTTTATAAGATGACTGCTAAAAGCACGAACCTGGTTATTATAGTACCAGCTATGGTTACGGTTTCTAGGTTGAGGAGGGAATTTGGCACAATGTCACAAGCTTTTATCTTTCCAGGTCTTTGCATTGTTGTTGCGCTTTTATTGAAGAATAATAATGATAACACAAAATGAACAAATTACATTTGTGTTACTACAGCTTTACTGCTTGGACCCATAAAAAGGACAAGTAATTCTCATAATGTAAAATGTTGACCATTCACTGCGTGCAACCAGTAAATATATTCATCATTAGTTCTGTTAATCTATTTACAATTTACAATTCATGGTAGTTACATTCTTTTATAGCTTTTCTATGCTATCATATGAACTCTTCTATGTGCGATGTGAAATGTAACTTATCTTGCAGTTAACCTAACATTTAAAATACAGTTTTCCAATTCAGAATTAGCATTATTTGAGTGTATGACTTATGGTGTAGCATTAACCTTCAAAAATTATTCTGTGCAGCTGAGGAATCTGCCAGCTTCAAAGCTTCGTGTGTTTTTTGAACTTGACGAAACAATTGCGTAAGCAGTGGGGGACTTTAACAAGCATCTGGAAATGGAGGAACAATCTAAAAAAGGGGGTCTCCCATTCTTCAACAATGTAGTTTCATATTTTTATCTAACACTTTTAAATAGAAAGGGGGGTTATACAAAAAAATTGAGTCAATATTTAGTATGACCACCCTTATTCTTCAACACAGCCGGAACACTCTTAGGGAAACATTATAATTTCTTTAATTAGGCTTTGGAAATAGTTCTCCAGGCTTCTTGAAGGACATTCAAAGCTCTTCTTTGGATGTTGGCTGTCTTTTGTTCCGTTTTCTGTCAAGAGGAACCCACACTGCTTCAATTATGTTGATGTCCAGGTTCTGGGGCGGCCAATCCATGACTGAGAGTGTTGGCATTGCCGAGTTTTAGGAATCACTTTGCCTACTTTACGCGATACCTTTTGTATTTTAAAGAAATGGGAACAATTTATATATTTTTGTGATAGGCTGCTAGCAACAAAGTGCCTAAATGTACAATGTAAAATGGGATTTATGAATAAAAGATACCTGGTAGCACTTCCGACGCTGTTTCATTCACATGTCTTGCCTTGTTAAAATAAATAAATATTCTTAACAGCAATATCTGTACAATTTTTCTTTGTAACATTGTTACTTATTTAAGCCTTTTGTAACTATTCTTTTTCAGTTCCAAAGACAGATTTATAGATTATGTTTCCAGCTCTAATGGGCCATGGGCATTTATGCTTATGTTATTAATGCTATAGTCCAAAAGCATACACAAACACAACAAATACAACAGTGACAACCGAAGCAGAATTTGTCCTCTATTAATGTTTCTCCATAGATCAATCCTGCAAAAGATGCTTAATCATGTTATTTAATGTGCAGTGATTTCTCATTCCACTCAAGAGAGCATCCATAAGTCTTAGTATTTCTTCTCTGTGTACATCTAATTGATTCATGTTAGGTAAATCTGATTCTGGTAATTAGTTTTTATCCTGAAAGCACATGTGTTCAATCAAAGATTTTGTTTTTGTTTTGGTTATTTTTATTTAAAGGAGTTCTGTGCTGCTTTTCCCTTATGAATAGCAGAAGGAGCGGGAGCTCCTAAAGGAAATTATAAAAACAGGAATGATCTCTTATTAGCTATTGTACTGTCAAACAAGGGAAAAGCAAGATTAAGAACTGTTTGCGCGGTAGAAATGTTATAATTTAATTTACACTGCACAAACACAGGTTATGCTCACATTTGACCGCTGATTCATATGGCCTATACTTGTGTTTTAATAGAAACAAGCAAGACAGTTACAGCCTGGAAATTCTTCTACATGTTTTTCACCAACTGCCAGAGACTAATTAACCCAAAGTTCAACTTGTTGTTCATTTATTTTCCACAAGGGGAATGAAAGCTGTTTCTAATGAGTAGACAGAAAAAAATCTTGCCGGTTTTTACCATTTTGAATATATAATTAATTTTTTTTCATGGCTGACATGATCTACTATTCTTTTAATCAGTAAAAGAACCTCACATTAAGGGCTCTGTGTGCTAACATGGGACCTTTTAGGGACCTCAGAAATAATTTGAAACAGATTTCAACAAAAGAGACGTTATAACTAAATGACATTAAAGAAGGGAGGGCCTTTTGAGGAATCCTTAAACAGCGGGTTAGGAGGGAAGCTATACAGCACCTTAGCTCTGCGAATCGAGGTGTTAAATGCAGAACCAGGAAAGGTCCAACTTTGCCATGCTTTGAAACTCGTTCCTTGAGGGATCAGAGCAAAGCGGCAAGAGCTGCGAACAACAGACACATCCTTTCCTCCCCGATCGCATGGCTGCTTCAAACATGCACATCAAACAGCTTAGAACTAGCAGATGCCCTAGACATGCAGAGACAGACAAAAGTTGGGTGGAAAGTCGGCTGGGTCCCTAAGGTGGGAGTTACGTAACTCCTCTTCTCTTCTACTGTGTTTGAGGAGATAAAAGGGAGTGAGGAGTTCAGGCTAGTGAGATGTTGTTAATCTGCTCTGATAGGGAGCCTTTTTACTCCCATAATTATCCCAGACTTTCTGAGGATGGAAACTGAAGAGACTTAGAACATTAAAAAAATCGTTGACTGACACAGCAGACAACAGAAACAGCTTGGATCATTATATTTTTATGTGAGATTTTGAACCATAGAAGGCAGAAGTAATGAGAGAGATTTCCATAAGTCAACCCTGAGAAGCAGATACTGATGCAAAGCCTTTCGCGAGGATTCATCTGTGCTTTAATGGAGCAAATCTTTGAATATTGAGCAACTTCTATTTAAAACGACTCCAGGCCAAATAAGGAAAACATCAAATAAGCGTCCAAAAAAAAATGTTTGGCAAGGGCAAAGAGTTTGGATTCTGGCAGGTCAAAAGCCCCCGTCATATCCAAACATTGTGTCATGCATGTGTGTGCAGACACACAAAAGACAGACTGGACACGTCCTCCTGTTCCAGACAGTGCCCTCCATGTGTGTCACGGCCTGCTGGCTCAGATCCATGACAGAACGCCACAGAGTTTCAAAAATCCTTGGTTCGAGTGTGTGTGTGTGTGTGTCTATACTGTGAGTGAGAGGGTGAGGGCTGCCCTGGTGTCTGAACTCTCATGTCGTACCGGTGACAGTTGCTAATGCAGTACTAACCTCTGTCATGACCTACTTTGCTATGCAACCTTTGTCCAGATCCTTATATTACACACATTTAAGTGCACACACTCACATGGAATATTAAAAAAAATTTAAAAAAAAGAAATGAATCCCCTTACAATTCCAAAGACATTTCTCAAAAACTATACTTGTGCACACACAGACGTTTGAGCCGATTAGAATTAGGAGCTGACAGCATGGGTTGGGGGACCGAGCTTGGTAAGAGCATGGTTTGACAGCTGAGAAAATGACTACATGTTATAAATGTGACAAGCCCCCAAGAGAGAGGTGATGCAGGACAGAATGATGGCCAGTTTGATTTTCAGCCCAGAAAATAGATATCTATTTAAACCCTCATGTGACTGGCCTTTTCAAGTTGAGCTCAGCGCAAGACAAGAGAATTTCATTTAGGAGTGCCATTTTACTACTTTTTGGTTTGATGGATTGATATGGGAGCTTCTGCTGCTTCTCTGAAGGGATTTTTTCTCCCCTCATCCAATCTGAAGGGAAAAGGATGTTGTGACTTTTTGAATTGTGACCCTCCCAAACGGGTATTATACCCTTCAATGCACCAATAAGAGGTAGCATCAGCTTGAAATGTGTTTGATCTCTCACATTTCTCAACAAAACAGGGGGGTCACCTCAGCTAGGGATTGGCGGGGTGCAGTTTCTATGTTTTTGGTGCTGACAGCATTCGG